TTTGTTTGCTTCCAGACGACGTCTCGCTCTGCTGCCCAGGTTGGAGTGCAGTGGCATGATCTCGGCTCACTGCAACCTCTGCCTCCTGGGTTCAAGTGATTCTCCTGCCTCAGCCTCCTAAGTAACTGGGATTACAGGCACGTACCACCATGCCTGGCTAATTTTTTGTATTTTTAGTAGAGACAAGATTTCTCCATCTTGGCCAGGGTGGTCTCAAACTCCTGACCTCAAGTGGTCCGCTCACCTTGGCCTCCCAAAGTGCTGGGATTACCGGTGTGAGCCACCATGCTGGGCCCTCTAGGTGTTTTGAAAAGAACTACAGGATACAAACCACGGGGCTGCTTGCTGCCCTTGATTTGGGGAACTCGAGCTTGGGGATCCAGGGTCATGGGCCCTGTAGGCTCAGCCTACCCTCTCTGGGCTGGGGGTCTCAGAAGCCCATGTCCAGGTAAGCAGTTGCAGGAAGTGGAGATCTGGAAGCTGGAGCAGGAGTCCTAGCTCCACTGTCTTGTTGGGCTTAACCATTAACTGCTAGTCCTCAGGCTTGTGTCTGGGCAAGAGACTGAAGCCAGAGCAAGGCCGGTCACAGCACAGCTGGGGGAGCACTCAGGGCAGAGTGTGACCCTGAAGTCCCAGAGGTGACCTCGGGAGGACTGGGCAGTGTGTGCCTGGACTGTTTCTTAACGAGCTCACACAGGCACACAGACTTTTCCTTCCACAGACTCACCGACATTTATGTTCTGCAGAGTGATCCTGGCGAAAATGATTATTTCATTGCCTGCCTAACCGGACAAGCAAAGCCCCCAGGGGTTATCTGGACAAGAGTATAAAAGATCTCAAGAATGTGACCTGACCCAAAGAGCCCAGAGGGAATAATGGAAGCTTCTGCCAGGTCTTTGAGGATTAAGTGATGGGTAATTAGGGGCGGGCGGATGACTCTGTAATGGACCTATTTCTTATGCACCGATAGGGACACAGTCTTAAAACAGGAAGAAGAACAAAGGGGAATGAACCTGCTCTGCAGTGGGCTGGGGAGCTGGGCAGGCTGCGCATGCTTCAAAAAGCATGTTTCCTCTTCACTATACATCATGAGTCTGGGAATTAAAGTTTGTGCTTTGAGGGATGTGTGTGTGTGTGCTTATGTGTGTATAAATTGTGTGCCCTTATGTGTGGATTTGTGTGCCTTTATATGTGTGTGTGTTTGAGCAGATCATTATCTGTTTGATGACCTGAGAGAAAGAAAACTGGTTTTCAGAAGCCCATGTTCAAGTAAGCAGTGGCAGGAAGCAGAGATCTGCAAGCTGGGGCAGGAGTACCAGCTCCACTGTCTTGTCAGGTTTGACCATTAACTACCAGTTCTCAGGGTTGTATCTGGGCAAGAGGCTGAGGTTGGGGCAAGGTTGGTCACAGTGCAGCTGGGGGAACTTCAGGGCAGAGTGTGACCCTGAAGTCCCAGAGGTGACCTCAGAAGGACTGTATACTGGTAGGAGGAGACCTAGAAAGAGAACCAAATGTCCTGTCCCTAATCGCAAGCCCAACTTGACTAGTGTCCCTAAGCCCAAGCCCAACTTGACTTATTCTGCTGATCACCTCTGCCTTCACCCAAGGCCAACAATGGCATTGGACTAGAGCGAGCAAAATGATTCAGACTTTGGGAAATAGACTCCTCTGGATTCTAGTGTCTTCCAGATTGCCTGACTGGGGAAGAAAATGGAAAAGGACGGAGCACCCTAGGGTCAGACCATTTGCCTCAGCTCAGGGAAGTGGCTTGGAGTTTCACACTGCAGAGATGAGAATGTGGAGCTTCTGTAAGCGAGTGTCATACAATGAGGACGAGCTCTAATTAGCCCTGGTACTGTGTGAAGAAGAAAAGCTGACCAGAACTCAGCTGCTCCCTCAGATGGGGTGAGGATGCTACCCCAACCCGGGACCCTCCTTAGTAGCATCTATCCTGTCTTGCTTTCAGCCACTTTCAGCCCAAGGTTATAGTCCAGGCTGTAATCTTTGTGGCAACTTCATAAGGACCTTCATCCATAAGGACATGTATGGATGAAGCCCTTTGGGCCCCGCTGGAGATCTGATATCTGCAGCCTGAGATGGGCCGTGGATGGTCAGGGCCAGAGAAAGAGCAATTTCAGTCACTCTGCAGCCTGAAGAGTTGGTTTCCAGGGCTTCTTGATGAATTTATTCCCCAATTTCTATCCCATCTCCTAGAACTGATGCTGGCACTGAGTAGATACTCCATAAATCTTTGTTGAATGGTTTATTAGACTGTTCTTGCACTGCTATAAAGAAACACTTGAGACTGGGAAATTTACAAAGAAAAGAGGTTTAATTGGCTCATGTTTCTGCAGGCTGTACAGGAAGCATAGGGCATCTGCTTCTGGGGAGGCCTCAGGAAGCTTCCAATCAAGGCAGAAGGCGAAGGACAAGCAGGTACGTCACATGATGAGAATGGGAGCAGGGTCGGGGAGAAGGTGCCACACACTTTTAAATGACCAGATCTCATGAGAACTAACCCTCTGAAGACAGCACAAAGTTATGACAGGTCTGCCTCCACGAGCAGACCTGTCACCAGGTCTTTCCACCAGGTGGGACCTTTCCACCAGGCCCCACCTCCAGCATTAGGGATTACAATTCAACATGAGATTTGGTGGGGAACAATATACAAACTATAGCCAATGGATGGATCAAATAATATGTAAGAGTCAACTTCTCTTCCTTACTAAGCAGAGCCCTGACATCCCAGATGTTTTTTGGTGACTTCTGAAATAGCAGATTCCTGAATTTAACTATCATTAGGTAACATTAAAGAAGAACCTTAGTTATATCACCAAGGAGACTTTAGTTATAATATATGACCTTTTTATTTTGTATCAAATCTGCTTTATTTGCTGGTAAACAAAATCACTGTGTAGGAAATATTTATTATTGTGCAATTCTTTTTATGTGTAAATCCGTAAAGGTCATTTTTGCAACAGTCTTTGGGAATATTAAGGGTAGTGCAGTTTTGTTATTCCCATTTTACAGCTGAGCATGTTGAGGCTGAATGTATTCCTAAATCCATACAGCTGAGAAGGAACTGACTTGGGATTCCATACCTGGTGCCTTTTTATAGCCCCACGGGTTACTTTCTATTGGAGAAGCTGAGCCTTCAAAGTATGCAACTTTCCTTTTGTTCTACTAAGTGAGAGATGGTACTCAATCTGGTTTTCCTGGAAATGCTCTTACAAGCCAGAAGCAGGCCCTGAACAACTCTGCAATTACCAGGGAGAGGGTATAATTTGGGGAAAAGCCTGGGTGGGCTTTATTCTGGAGATCTCACTGGTGATGAACTCCATTATTAGCAGACAAGATGATCATTGGGAATGAAAAGAAGTTGGTTCTGGTCCCTGCTCAGTCCCTGACCCAGAGTCAGGGTACACTCTCTATTCCCAGGGGTGCTGTCTGGATTCTGTGCCTAAGGCCATCTCTCTGTGAGCTCAGTGTGAAAGCTGCCAAGTGAAACACAGGCGTCACGGTTCCAGTGATGACCACTCCCCACCCCCCAGGTCCCCATGGTGACCCCGGTACCCCCACCAACCAGGTCCTGGACAGTGCTCCAACCCCACTGTGACCCTGTGCCGAGCCGGCCACCCCGTGTCAATTGCCAGTGGCTATTTACTGCTGGCACTCAAAATGGGAAGCTCAGTTGTAGTCTTGGCATGGATGATTATTTCACTTCTGATTTCCATCGAAATGCACTGACCTTTTCCGTCTAGTTTCCCAACCTATAAAATTGGTGTTCGAGCAGCAGCTGTGTGGTGTTCTCATGGGGTTCGTGGGGGGAGAATAACATGAAATGAGCTATTGGCCTCTGTGTCACATCATCTTATGCATTCTTCAAAACTGCCCTACAAGGTAGAGCTCTTACCGTCATTTTATTTATTTATTTATTTATTTATTTATTTATTTATTTATTTATTTGATGGAGTTTTGCTTTTGTTGCCCAGGCTGGAGTGCAATGGCACAATCTCGGCTCACTGCAACCTCTACCTCCTGGGTTCAAGCAATTCTCCTGCCTCAGCCTCCCAAGTAGCTGGGATTACAGGCACCTGCCACCATGCCGGACTAATTTTTTGTATTTAGTAGAGATGGGGTTTCACCATGTTGGTCAGGCTGCTCTCAAACTCCTGACCTCAGGTGATCCACCCGCCTTGGCCCTCCAAAGTGCTGGGATTCCAGGCATGAGCCACCGTGCCTGGCCTTCTTACCCCCATTTTGTGGTGGAGAGATTTACACATGGAGGGATTTAGTAACCTGTGAGGAAGGAAAAAAGCCCCTGAGATTTGGGAGCTGGCCTTCCATTCATAGCTAACCTGTGTTCTTCTCCTCCGGGACATAAACACCCTCACAGGGTGCTGACCTCAGACAAAGTTACTCTGACACTATGATAAAATGAGACAAAGCAAGACCACATCATAGTTTTTCTAAGCACAGACAAAAACAACGTCACTGTACCACCGTGAAATACCAGACACCCCCTCTTGGCCAAAATGAGTCACTATTACTTCTTTTCCTACTACAGCTATATCCTTGTGGCCATCTCCCTTCCTTATAGATGTGATTTATTGAGACACTGAGTCACAGAATTGCCCCCAGTTTCTTACAGCTGCCAGTTGAAAGTAAACTGCCACTTCCTTACTGATATGGTTTGGCTGTGTCTCCACCCAAATCTCAACTTGAATTTTACCTCCTGGAATTCCCATGGGTTGTGGGAGTGACCCAGGGGGAGATAATTGAATCATGGCAGGGGCCGATCTTTCCTGTGCTATTCTTGTGGTTGTAAGTCTCATAAAATCTGATGGTTTTGTCAGGGGTTTCCATTATTGCTTCTTGCTCATTTTCTGTTGCCACCACCATGTAAGAAGTGTCTTTCACCTCCTGCCATGATTCTGAGGCCTCCCCAGCCATGTGGAACTGTAAGTCCAATTGAACCTCTTTTTCTTCCCAGTCTCAGGTATGTCTTTATCAGCAGCGTGAAAATGGACTAATACACTTACCCTCCCCCAAATCACTCAAACCAACCCCAATTCTATCACAGGTTCTGTCTAACACCCTCTTACTGAGACACCCTGGTGTGTATTCTCTCTCACTGCAGTAATGAATAAACCCAGCTTATTCAACTGCAAGTGTGTTCTTGGTGATCTCTGCTGGAAGATGTTGGTTCTTGTCCAGGGTCCCACAGCTGAAGGATGAAGATGGGATTCAAACTCAGGAAGTAGGCTTTTCTGATTCCAGAACCCATATGGGACCTCCTCTCTGGGAGAGCGGCAAGAACAAGCAATCTCAGCACCATCAAATTCTCCAGCCCCCGGGGGAAGTTCCCAATCCAGCCCCCAAAGGGAAGGTCAGAATTCCAGCATCCACCCTCGGCCTTGATTTTGGTGTTACATTTTGCACTCCCCGTGTGCCTGGAAGGGGTCCCAGGTAGGTAGCTTTCTACTTGTCGACTGAAAGAGGAGACAGAGAAATCTAAGCCCCTCTCATCTGTCATGTGGTCACACCCCATGGACAGGACAGCACTATGAAGATGCCCGCAGCCTGCACAGGGACTGTCCCACCTGCCCACGGCGCCACCCTCTCCGTGCCTGGCACATGGAGGATGCCATGTGTTCTTTTAGCAAGAGCAGCTGAAACCGCTTTTCCCAGTATTGTCCTTTGTTCCTGATAACGTCTCTACAGCAGTGTCCTTGATCCCAGCAGGACACTGGCCTGGGATTTAAGAAGATGTGTAGCTACTCTCTCAGACCCCCTGGGGCCCAGCAGTCCATATACCTAATAGCTTTTGACCTAGACTTTGGCATAGCTCCCTTCTGGGAGTTCTAGCATAGATACTAGGGGATCATCTTGCCTCTGTGGCTGCTGAGATAGCAACAATTACTATGGTCACCCATTACCAGCACCATTTACAAAAGATTGGACTGTGTCAGAACATGTTCTATACTTCTTTGATCTGTTTAAAAACCCTGTGGGGTGGATATTATTGCCATTTTACAAATGAAGAAACCGAGACTCAGAAAGTTTGGTACTAACCTAAACAGACACAGCAGATAAGTGGCAGAGCCAAGATTTGAATGCAGAGCTTTCTCCAAGTCATCCTACTTAGTCCTTCTCTCCAGGCCCTGAGAATCCAGGTGTCCTACATGCACCTGAGAAGCTGCACAGGTCATTCAAGGTTACAGTGGATGCTGGGCTGAGCCCAGACCCACACTCAGGACGGAAGGTCTTTTTTTTTTTTTTTTGAGACAGAGTCTGGCTCTATTGCCCAGGCTGGAGTGCAGTGGCACAATCTCGGCTCACTGCAAACTCCGCCTCCCAGGTTCACGCTATTCTCCCACCTCAGCCTCCGGAGTAGCTGGGACTACAGGCACCCGCCACCACGCCCGGCTAATTTTTTTGTATTTTTAGTAGAGACGGGGTTTCACTGTGTTAGCCAGGATGGTCTCGATCTCCTGACCTCGTGATCTGCCTGCCTCAGCCTCCCGAAGTGTTGGGATTAGAGGCGTGAGCCACCGCGCCCGGCCCGATGGCCTCCCTGGGGACAGCTGCCTTACCCAAGGTTATGTCCCATTTTAGGGGCAGCCTACCTCATCAAAGAGGAAGATATAAAGGCCTGGTCCATGCTCTGGCTGGGGATAACTCTGAAGGGCCATCCCAGTTTCAGAGTTCCCTGTGGGCTCAGTGGAGGCCTGGTTGTGACTGCGTCGCAGCCAACCTCTCCATCTGCCTGATCCCACTGCCACCTTCTCCATAGGTGTTCATCCCGAGGCTCTCCTTGGGAATCTTCCTGCACTCCGTTCTCTGCAGTCTGCTTCTGGAGAACTCCACCTGCAACAAGGGTGTTTTTGGGAATTAGCTGGGGACTTGCAGTTTCACCTACTGCAATGCCTGGCTTACAACACCTAGAGGAAGGTGGTATCCCCAGCAGGCAGGATGGGCATTCCTGTGTCCTCAGCTTCAGTCATCATGGGCTGGAAGCAGATGAACTATTCAATGGACTTTGGGCTCTGACCTGTTTAAAAGAATTTCTCTGCTGCAGATGTCTAACTGAATACTTTTTAAGCCCAAAATTAGTCTTTTCTTTTTCAGGCCAGGCGCGGTGGCTCATGCCTGTAATCCCAGCACTTTGGGAGGCTGAGGGGGGCGGATCATGAGGTCAAGAGATCGAGACCATCCTGGCCAACATGGTGAAACCCCATCTCTATTAATAATACAAAAATTAGTTGGGCGTGGTGGTGCACAGCTGTAGTCCCAGCTACTCAGGAAACTAAGACAGGAAAATCACTTGAACCTAGGAAGTGGAGGTTGGAGTGAGCCGAGATTGCACCGCTGCACTCCAGCCTGGCGATAGAGCAAGACTCAGAAAAAAAAAAAAAATCAGCTGGTCTGAAGGTAGTGAGTTATCGCATTGAATGTTCACAGTCAGTTACAGATTGAACGCCTTGTTCTACCCTTTTCCTCCTCCTCACTGCTGCACTTGACTAGCCTTACAACACATTTAAAAATAAAAAATTTCGGGATCAGAGAGCCTGATAGTTCAAGTTTATTACTAAGGTAAATAAAGGATATCAACTTTTATAGTTTAACCTCTGAAGCAAAATAAATCATTGACAAGGCTTCCACTAGAGCAAATGGCATGGTAATTAAGATATTATTACCTGATTTTACCAATTTATCATCTGTTTAGTTCTGCTATATGCCAGTCTCTGTGCTAGGGGTTAAGGAGGCAGAGATGAATGAGATCAGTTCTGCCTGTTGAGAAGTTCACCCTCTTGTAGGAGAGGCTGACATAAACCAGTCATAATAAAAGTCATAATGATAATAGTTTCGAGGGTCCAGACTGGTTGAAAACGCTGAATGAAAAGAAGAATAGTTGCCAAGTGTGGTAACTCATGCCTGAATCCCAGCTACGTGGGAGGCTAAGGTGGGAGGATCGCTTGAGGCCAAGAGTTTGAGGCTGCAGTGAGCTATGATCCAGCCTAGATGACAGAGCAAGATCCTGTCTAAAAAAATTAAGAAGTGGCTGGGCGCGGTGGCTCACGCCTGTAATCCCAGCACTTTGGAAAGCTGAGGTGGGCAGATCACCTGAGGTCAGGAGTTCAAGACCAGCCTGGCCAACATGTTGAAACCCCATCTCTACTAAAAATACAAAAAATTAGCCAGGCATGGTGGCGAGTGCCTGTAATCCCAGCTACTCAGGAGGCTGAGGCAGAAGAATTGCTTGAACTGGGGAGGCAGAGGTTGCAGTGAGTAGAGATTGTGCCATTGCACTCCAGCTTGGGCAACAAGAGGGAAACTCCATCTCAAAAAATAAAAGTAAATAAATAAAAGAAAAAATAGTGAATATTATATTTCCATACTTAGTTGAAAGAAAATTATGAGTAGGCACATAAGAAACATGTCATCCAAAGCTCTTACAAAGAACAGCAGGATGTGAGACTGTGCTAACCTTTCTGGCCGGCATCAGGCAGCCTTAGCTGTAACCTCGTGGTGTTGACGCTACCCAGGCCCTTTAGAAAAGGCTTCTTGAGATGATTTTGTGTGAAAGTGGTCCAAGGGTTTGTCCCCTTCAGGTCACCCTGCCAACATCTTAAGAGTTACTGCTCTTAAAATATTAGTTGCCTGTAGCTCTTTTCTACTTAAATATCTGTAATGCCTCCCCTCCCATCCCATTGCCTTCCGGATGAAGTTCAACCTCTCTTCTTGTATCACTCCCCAGAAAGCTCTTTTTTTGTGGTCCCATTGGGCCACTCCTCAGACCCTGAACTCAGGAGACCTTTCAAAGAAGTCCAGGTCTCCTTGCCTTCACTCCTGCTAGTCCCCTTTCCTGGAATTCCTTCTTCTCTTCTCTTGACCAGTCACTAGGCACAGCTTTCAGGCCAGCTAAAATTTCGTCTCCTCTACAAACTATTCCCTGAACACTTCAACCTGAATGGACTTCTCCTTTACCTTTCATGGGAAAACGAACTCCTGTGGCCCTGGTGGCCCTTCCTTCTGGTCTTTACCTGTCATTTTAATGTGTTCTGCTACTCAGTCTTCTAGGAGTCTACAATTCTCCCTAGCAGGACCTGTAATGAATGTGGCAGGGTCAAGTTTGGTGTCCCGGGGGGCATCCTAGAGGGTCTTTTGGGGACCAGTGTGGCTTGCCCTCCGTGCTGACTTACAGGGAGGGACACAGCTAAAAACCAAGAGCTGCTCCCTTCATCTCTTTATCAAGACCTGGTAAATTGGCCTCCTCCAAATATTGAACAAAATCAATTCAGCTACTTTGGGGAAAGAGGTAGCACTTTTCGCTGTTGAGAATAAATTAATCCTACTTCCTTTTCTTTTTAAGGAAAGCAGTAAATCGAGAGAGAGAGAGAGAAGAAAACAAAAACAAAAACAAAACAGCCTCGCCTCTCTGTAACCCTGTCTTGCTCCCTGGGAACAGTGTAACCTGGCCTCAATCCCAAAAAGCAGAAGGAAAGTATTTTTCAAAATGTTAATGGCCCTGAAAATTTGAGTTCAGTTTTTCTCTTTCTTTCTTTTTTTTTTTTTTTTTTTAAAAAAGTTTTTTTTTTTTTTTTTTTTTTTTACATATAGTCTCACTCTATTGCCCAGGCCGAAGGCACTAAAGGCACAATCCCAGCTCACTGCAACCTGTGCCTCCTGGTTTCAAGTGATTCTCCTACGTCAGCCTCCCGAGTAACTGGGATTATAGACATGTGCCACCACGCCTGGTTAATTTTTGTGTTTTTAGTAGATGGGGTTTTGCCATGTTGGCCATGCTGGTCTCGAACTTCTGACCTCAAGTGATGCACCCGCCTCAGCCTCCCAAAGTGCTGGTATTACAGGTGTGAGACGCTGCACCCAGCCGAGTTCCATCTTTCTGAAAACAGAATTGGGATCCCTGTGTATGTTTGTATATTTAAGTTTGTGCCGTGTATGTGCATGTGTGAAGGTGCTGGCCTGTGCATGGCATGTGTCCCGATGTGTGTGTGTCTAAATGTCTGCTCATGTACCCTTTCTCTTTTAATAAGTCTAAAACTGACCTGGAATGGTGCAGCTAGAACTAGAAGGGAACACCCAGGCCAGTCCTTCCCTGTATGGGGAGGAAGCCGCCCCACAGTGGAACAGGATTTATGAAGGGACACAGGAGGTGGGCTGCACCCCAACTCATAATTTTCAAAACAGAGATGCAGCAACTCACAGGAGTACACCCTGTTCTCTGGCTCCCAGACTGCCAAGGGTGTGCCCTGGCAAGGGGTTCTCAGACACCCTCAGCCAGGCTCAGCCACAGGCAAAGCTCTGAACTAAATTGCTCCTTGGCCTTTGCTGCCTTAGCAAAAGCAGAAACCACAAGCCTTCCCCACCCAGCAGGGCCTAGAAGCCTGGCTCTGGCAACTTCTGGAAAGGCCTCCTGCCTGTCTGTCTGGGTACCAAGCTGAGACCCTGAATGAGGTTCATTCTTTTCTGGGGCTGCTGTTTTTCTCTCCTGTTAGTTCCTTGCTTTCCCAAGACAGCCAAGAGGAAACCAAAGTTCCCGTCGCTGTGCAGAGTCTCTTGGCATTTTCTAAAGAGAACACCCACCAGCCTTGGAGTGAGAGGATTTTAAATCAGAAGTTTACTGATGGGGCACAGGGGCGGAAAGCGACTTGCCTGGGCCTTGCTCTGTTGGCACCCCCAACCCCAGCTGGCCATGGAAACTCGGACTTCATGCAGGCAGGGTTGCAGGGGGCTGAGGAACCCACCATTTCTGTCTCTACCTCTCCTTGTAGGGGCAGTCAGTCAGAGACGGGGTGCACAGTTATTCTGGGATTTCCCCAGACTGCCCCTTGGGTTCCACGGGTAGCAGCTGAGCACCCTCTGAGGACCCAGTTGCTGTCCTAGGTGTCCGCACATGCACCATCTTATTTGACTGCCATGATAGCCGAGACTGGTGGGAGATGCACTCTCTTCTATAGCAGAGGGAGCCGGGCTCCCGAGGGAGGCCAGGGATGGCGCTGCTCACTTGTGGCCATGTCTGAGGGGCATGCTATGAGGACCATGCTACCCACCATGGCAGCAAAATAGAAAGATAATAACAGGCTGTTCGGATCTGATTAGAGTTGGCACTGGCAGGAAGTAAACCAGGTAAGGCCTGCGGCAAAGTCGTCAGTGTGGCAAGGGTCAGAAGAGGAGTGGCCAGGCTCTGCAGATCACTTTGTATCCATCCTCGCCCCGTCTGATTCCTGCAACCATTGGGAAGGACAAGTAGAGGGCCTGGCACTTGGGAGACGGGGCCAGGATAGAGCTGTGTGTGTTTAGGAAGAGAGCCGCAAGCTAGTATGGTCTATTATGGACTGAATGCTTGTGTCTTCCCAAAATTCATGTTCGAAACCCTAAACCAAAATGTGATGGTATTTGGAGGTAAGGGCTTGGGGAGGTGATTTCACTTAGATGGAGTCATGAGGGCGAGGCCACCGTGATGGGATTAGCATCCTTATAAGAACAGGAAGAGGCCAGAACACGCTCTCTCTACCACGTGAGGACACGGTGAGAAGGCAGCTGTCTCCCAGTCAGGATGAGAGCCCTCACCAGAGCTCGGACATTCTGGCACCTGGATCTGAAACTTCCAGCCTCCGGAGAGGTGAGAAATACATTTGTGTTGCTAAGCCACTCAGTCTATGCTGTTTTGTTGTGGAAGCCCCAGTTGTTTCTATAATCTGAGCTCTAGGGGAACTGAGACTGTGGTGGGGGCATGCGTGCCCAGCAGTGGGGAGATAGAGCATGGGGAGGAGGGGCTATGAAACGGACAGGGCTGGAGTGGGAGTCTGAATGCATCCAGACCCTTGCCTGGCTGCACCAACTTGCCACCTTCCTTCTACCTGGGCTGGGCGAGACAGGTAATGCCTTCAGACAACCTGCTTTGGAGGAAGCAGTGATTTCTGGGCCAGACATGCAGTTTAGTGCCCCAGTATGTAATTAGAGTGTGCAGAGCCATGGCAGCTGGGCCCGTGGTGGGCCTGGCACTGGGCTCTCTGTCTGTGGTCACAGCTAGCCTGTATCTGGCCAGGCATCGGCTCAGCTGACCTCAGAGCCGCTTCCCTCCCCTCCTGAGAAGGGAAGCTTCCCAGGGAAGCTGAATTGCCAGAGTCTCCTGGGTGCATAGAGGGGTCAGACCTTCCCTCAGGCCTTTTACCTGAGAGCCTTCTCTTCAGCCCATGGCCCAGCACTCCCCTTCCTAATGAGCTGAATTTCTGCTGTGAGTCCTTGTTGCTGAAGGGCCCGGGACCAGGGCCTCCCGATCACGATGGGTTTAGCTCCCCATGGCATTGGAGTATTGACTTGGTCTCCAATGTGGAGACACGGAGGGAAGCACTTCCTGATAGGGGCATCCAATAAGGATCCTGGGGTTGGGGGGTTGTACATCCTCCTGGGGAGGCCACCGTGAGATTTCTGACCAGGGTGAAGCTAGGATCCTTCCAGCTGGAAAGCCTCGCATCCTGCGAGCTTCCTCTTTTAAGGGACTCAGCAGAACTGATTTCCAAATTCTCATATCTGCAGCCCCAAGATGCTTTCTGCGGCCTCTAGAAGTCTGATCAGGCTGTTTAAATTTGCTTTTGAACAGCCGAATGGGAAGTGAGGAAGAGGAGGAGAAGAAGAAGAGAGAGAGAGGAAGAGGAACAGGGGATTATACGGAGCTAGTATGGTGATATTTGAGAAGGATCTGGCCCAAATTTAGGGCCTGTGGACTCCTGGGCAGCCCCAGTTCTATGTTTTCAAGGTGGTGGTTTAGATGCCCTATTTTATTTTTTTCCCTCCCCTCCCCTTTCTCCTTCCCTCCCTCCCTCCCTCCCTCTTTCTCTTCTCTTCTCCTCTCTTCCCTTCTCTCTCTTTCTTTCTTTCTTTCTTTCTTTCTTTCTTTCTTTCTTTCTTTCTTTCTTTCTTTCTCTCTCTCTCTCTCTCTTTCTCTCTTTCTCCTTTTCTCTCTCTCTTTCCTTTCCTTTCTTGAAGGAATCTCACTCTGTTGCCCAGGGTATAGTGCACTGGCACAATCTCAGCTCACTGCAATGTCCACCTCCTGGGTTCAAGCAATTCTCCTGCCTCAGCCTCCTGAGTGGCTGGGATTACAGGTGCACTCCACCGTGCCTGGCTAATTTTTTGTATTTTTAGTAGAGACAGGGTTTCACCACATTGGCCAGGCTGGTCTTAAACTCCTGACCTCAGGCGATCCACCCACCTCGGCCTCCCAAAGTGCTGGGATTACAGGCATGAGCCACTGCGCCCTTCCTAGATGCCCCATTTTCTCGTATCTTTTAGGAAATGAAAAACTTAAGAATTCAGGCATCTGGGCAAGGAGCTGTGGCCCCGGGAGGCAGCCTCTCTCCTGCTCCTCTGCTTAGCCCTACAGCCTTCTCCATAAGCCCCACTTCCTTCCCTTGGAAGGGGAAGCTTGGCTCTATTCTAGGGGCATACCCAGAGGCTGTCTCCAGCCCAGTGGAAGTGAGTCCACTGCGAGGATGAGCTTAATCAGATCTGAGAGCTTCTCCCCCAAGCCGCACAAGAAGTGATGACAGATTTGGCAGCCTGTAAAAATGCTTGTTGCAGCTTTTGATGAGGCAGGTAAGGGTGTTCCAACAGGCCTATCCAAACTCTCCCCACCAGGGTTCCGTACAGCTAAGGAGACTGAGGCCTGGAGTCATGAAGGCTTCTGCCCAGGTCGCACATCAGAGTGAGAGCACCTTGGTCTGGAGATCCCTAGGTAGGATGCAGGGTTGTGGCTACTGAAGCCAGGATGGACCCTCCTCCATGGCTGTAGACCCCCTCTTGGGTGTCTGGTTGGTCTTGCTTGGCTCCTGGTGAAGCACATTCACAGCAGCATCTCAAAGCCAGACTGTTGGCTCAGGGCCTCAACCTGTCTGGGTCCAGGCACAAAGTTAACATGGGCTCTGCCTCTCCGTTCATCTGCATCTGAGTGTGGCTTGTAGGTCACCCCGTAACCTGGGGGTTCAGGCAAAATTCTGTTGCTGAAATGCAAAAGAGCCAGCACTTTTGGGGGATGGAGCCACTGGCAGTGCAGGGCTCCTTGCCTGTTCTGCCGTGGTCTTGCAGCCTGTGGTTCAGCCTTTCAGTCCTCCTGCCTTGGGATTTCCATTTGCTTGGTGGAGAAGTTGAATGGAGCTAGCCCTGTGCTGCAGGGCTGCTCCCCTCCCCCTTCATCACTGTAGGATTCCCAGGCAACCATTTGACCAAATCTTGCAAGTCCTAGCCCCTCTTACTACTTTCTCTGATGATAACATTTGTAGGCCAAGGGAAATCCCAATTATACCCTGTTGTCTTTTTTGAATTACTCCCTAATCTATCTATTAAAAAGCAACCTCAAGCAGGATCCTAAATAAATGGGCTTTAATCAAGAGAATTATCAATGTGATTCATTCTCCCTCAGGGCAGAGATGCAATTTATCTTTCAGCAAAGGACACAGCAACTTAACACACCCAGACTAAGAACAATGGCCATCAGGCCCATCTGTCCCCAGGAGAAGGCTAAAGCATTTGGTGTTAGTGCCCGGGGCTCTGACCCCATTAGAGACTTCTCCGCTGGAGTTCTCGTAATGGTGACATCTTAACTGAAATGGAGAAGGGAAGGCACCCAGCGTGGCCAGGGGCCCAGCAGAGCTGGGTCAGGTGGTGACCCCTTCTCTTCATGGGGACAGCGGGGGCTGCCAGCCTCCGGAGCCCCTGAATATTTGCTCAACTGCTTCTTGCTCCCTGCTAAGTCAGTCGCATTCCAGATGCAGCAAGGAGGAGGCCCCCAAGAACAGGGGCAGAGCACTTTCCTAGACTGCCATGTCCTCCCTACAGTTGTGGGGGGTGCCCCACGGGTGTGAGGAGACAGGCGTCTGAGTAGGGGGACACTCCTGCGATCAGCCTCAGGTTAAGGCCCCTGCAGGTGCTGACCTACTCCACAACTGACTCATGGGCCAGGAATACGGAATCAAATCTGTTTTTCTTTCCTTCCTTAGGACATGACTGTAATTGCTCCTCCTCAGCCCAGCTTGGGAGAAGGCTGGTTTCTTCCCCAGACTTGTCTGAATGCTCGCAGCCCCTGCCCTTCACCAGGGCCAGGACCGCTCAGGTCTCCATTCCCTTCCAGCCCAAGGTGGCACCCACTGCACCCTCCTCTGCCCTGGGCCCTGCTTGCCACAGGCCTGGAGTCCAAGGGACCTGAAGGGGCTGCAGTGGCCATGTTGAGAGCTGAGTTATGACTAAATCTTCCCAGAACCTTAGAACTTCCAAGAAGCGTAGAACCGCTTGGCAATTTAAACCATTTCAGACCCAGAGAATTATAGAAAAGTAGAATCTTAAGTTTGGAAACGATCTTTAAGGTAATCTACCTTCTTTCCAGCACAGCAGCCTTGCCTGCCTTCTTTCCTTATCCACAGTTGCCTTGAGAAGAAGCTGGGCCTTGTGGGAAACATTCCCAGGGCTTCTTTCCTTCCTGGACCTCTGGGAGACCACACCTTCCAGTCCCTTTGCAGTGAGGAGGGGCCGAGTGGCATTTCTGGCCTGTGAGATGGGAGCAAAAGTAATGTTTGTCACACTTCTGAGTTGAGGCAGTGAAAGTCCCTGAGCCATTCACCAGGGAAGAGGGAAGTCCCTCTTCCCATTCAGGACTGATCACAGACAAGTGCCTGTGTTGAGACAGCAAAGTCCCAGATCAAAGCAGCCAGACCCATTGAGGCACTGCAAGAAGACAGTGCCGTGGAGGGCTGCCCAAGTTGCAGCAGGATCTGCATGAGCAAGGGTTAAGCTTGGTGAGATTTGGGGGCTATTTGTGTAGTAGGACATTATAACCTAGCCTGTGCTGGAGAATATTCCCAGCCTACATTCCAGACTCCCAGGCATGGGAATTCACTATGGGTGAATGAGGCTGTTGGGTTCGTTGCTCAGCAGCTGTCAGTTGGAAAGTTTGTTTTTGCCCTTGAACTGAAATCTGCTTCCTCACAACTCCCTTTTCTTTTTTTTTTTCTTTTTCTCTTTTCTATTTTTTTGGAGATGGAGTCTCGCTCTGTTGCCCAGGCTGGAGTACAGTGGTACGATCTAGGCTCACTACAACTTCTGCCTCCCAGGTTCAAGCGATTCTCCTGCCTCAGCCTCCCCAGTAGCTGGGATTACAGGAGCATGCTGCCACGCCCGGCTAATTTTTTGTATTTTAGTAGAGACGGGGTTTCACTGTGTTGCCCGGGCTGGTCTCGAACTCCTAAGCTCAGACAATCTGCCTGCCTTAGCCTCCCAAAGTGCTAGGATTACAAGTGTGAGCCACCACACCCGGGCCACACCTGAAGTAGGTGAAGCCTTCTGTTCTCAAACTTGAACGTGCCTCTGAATCACCTGGAGGGCTTGTTAAACACGGTGTTCTGGGCTCCAGCTGCGGTTTCTGATTCAGCAGGTGTTATGGACTGATTATATCTGCCACCCCCAAACCTGCCCCAAATTCATGTCTTTGGCATTTTAACCCCTAATGTGATGGTATTGGGATATGAGACCTCTGAGAGGTGGTCAGGCCATGAGGTTAGAGAGTTCACCAATGGGAGGAGGGCCCTCATGAAAGGGACCCCAGAGAGCTCTCTCACCCCTTTCTGTCCTGTGAGATTACAGTGAAGAGGCCATTTTCTGCAACCAAAAGTGGACCCTCATCAGACACCAACCATGCTGGCACTCTGATCTCAGGCTACCAGCCTCCAGAACTGTCAAAATGAAATTTCTGTTGTTTTACAAGCCACCCGCCCAGTCTATGGTACTTTTTTTATAGCGTCACAAACTAAGATAGTAGGCTTGGGGCAGGACCTGGAAATTTACATTTTTAGTAAGTTCCCAGAGGATGCTGCTGCTGGAGGTGTGGAGGCCACACTTTGAGAACAGCTACTCTCTATCTTCTGTTACATCTCCCCAGGAACCTGCTGGCCCATGCTGGTCGTGGCTGCAGAGGTGCCCCCACCCTGCCAGGCCACATAGAGCAGATCCCTCCCCCGGTTGGTCTGGGTTGGTCGGAGTCTGGTGATGTTCCCTCCATAGACTGCGAGCCTTAATGGGCAGGGCCTGCAATGTACTCATCCCTGTGGCCCTCAGTCTGACAGTGGTCAGCCACAGCAACCAGCATGTGCTCAGCGAATGTTTGCTGAGTGTATGGATACCCACAACAGGAGGAACACTTTGCCCACTTCTGAAATCTTTCACTCACCTTCAGACTCCTGGTACAGAGGCCCCTGGGGAGCTCACACTGCCCACCCTGCAGGCATCAGGGCTGATGCCAGCTTCTAGGCATGTTGGAGACCGGATGGTGAGTGGGGATGGGCTGCATCCTCTCTCCAGGAGGGCTAAGCCTGGAGGCCGGAGGTGTGTGTGGGTGGGTGGTGCCCTGGCTATTCCCGTAAAGACCCAGCTTGGCAAGCCCACTCTTGCTGCCGGGTCTGCAGATGACTTCTCTTGTGCTCATGTGAGCCAACTCTGACTTCTGGGAAGGATCGTGCTGTCTTGGTTGCTGCAAACATAGACAGGTTAGCTCATGCTTGGCTGCACTGCGGATGACGTGGGTTCCAGCTTCCTGGGGGGTCTGCTGGGCCAAGTCCTCAGGTTTTCCGCCTGAAATCAATTCATCACATCTCAAGGCACTGCCTCCTGTATCATGTGCCTGGCCAGAGCTCATGGCAATGAGGTAGCCGACACTGGGGACTGTGATCCATTCCTGCTGGGCTTGGGCCCTCAGAGAGCCTGGGCAAGCTATTGCCAGGAAGGGCCATGCCAGGAGCAGCCAAGGACCTCTGATAGTTAGAATCAAGGCTGTTAAAGTCAAGGCCAACTTCGGGGTGTCGTGCCCTATCCTGTGGAGAACACTGACCCTGCTGGAGGTCTAGGACTCTCTTCTTCCTCCCACTTCTCCCCCTGCCCTCCCCCTCCCTCCTCCTCCTTCTCTTCCCTCTCCCACATCTTCCTTTTCTTCTTCCATTTTACAATCTTTATTATGAAAAGGATTAAACATACAGAAAATTGAGAGGATAACATGATAAACCCACAATACCCATCGCCTGGATTTAACAATTGTTAACATTTTGCTGTATCTGCGTCATTGACTCTTTTTTGCTTGAGTATTTTAAAGAAAATTACTGACATACATTTTACCCTAAATATTTCAGTATGCATCTCTAAAATGCAAAAACAGTTTTCTACGTAAACATGTATCACGATCATATTCATCAAAATTAACACTAATTCCTTAATATCATCTAATAGTCGGTATTAATATTTCTGCAATTGTTGCAAAAATGTCTTTTGTGATTGGTTTACTCAAACCAGAATCTAAACCAGAGCCACGTGTTGCATTAGCTCATTAGGTCCCTTCCCCCCCGTCCCCGCCCCACCCCGCTTCTTTTCACAGCTGTTGAAGGTCCCATTTATACTAGAAAGTCCTTCGCCCTCCCTTCCCCCTGTGGTATAGATGGGTTGAGGACACCAGGCCAGCGTGCAGGTCTCCAGGTCCATGGAGGGGTGGATTCCCAGGCAGGGGTCTGAGAAAGAGGCCCAGCCCCCTCCTTTCCCAGGCTGAGGGAGTCGCAGGCAGGCATCACCCTGAAGAGACACAGGGCCATCCTGGAGAAGCTGTTCCTCCTGGGAAGCCACGTGATGTGCAGGAGGGTCAGGGGAAGATGGTACAGAACAAGAATGAAGACTTTGAGACACTTACAGTGACACCAGGTCACTCAGGGAGGGAAGAATCACAGGAGTCTCTAGGGAAGGATCTTTGAAGATGAAGACCAGTGACTCGGAGGCGGACAGGGCCTTGGGTGCTCTGATCCCGCTGTGTGGGCTGGGCCTGGCCGTGGCCAAGCAGCCTTCTGCCCACACACTATTCCCTTTGATGGGAGGCTGGACCCGCCCTTCTACTCTGTGAGGGCCCCTCCCTGGTAGCAACTTCTCTTCTGCCTCCATTTGGGTAACGGGCTGTCATGCGGGCAGCTGCCGGGAGCAGCTGTGACATTATCCAGACCCCACCCCAGGTCCCTGTTGGGCTGCAGCTCTGGCTCTGGCTCCGCCTTGATCCTCTGCTCTGCTTCTCCGTCGGGCTGGCTTCCCGGCCTGTGGCTCTGGGCACATTCGCTGCAGACAGAGCTTCCCGAGTCGGTCTCACCGCTCATGGTAAGAAACAAGGTGTGCCTCAGGAAGAACTTGTCAAGCAGTGGTATTAATGGGGAGATGGCTTTTTTTTTTCCTGTAAGTGAGAAAATTAATTTAAAAGTTGATAATATCCAGTGTTGTTAAGGGTTCAGGGTAAACAGTCCCTTATTCTCTTGGGAGAGTGTAAATTGGTCAGTCTTTTGGAAAATAAACAGACAACACCTATCAACATTAAAAATGTATGGCTTTTTATTCTTTTTTAATTTTTGTTATTTTAAGAAACATGGTCTCTCTGTGTTGCCCAGGCTGGAGATCAGTGGTTGATTTTAGCTCACTGTAGCCTTGAATTCCTGGGCTCAAATGATCCTCCCACCTCAGCCTCTTGAGTAGGTAGGGCTTTAAGCATGCACAACCACACTCAGCTAATTTTTTTTTTTTTTTTTTGAGACAGAGTCTTGCTCTGTTGTCTAGGCTGGAGTACAGTGGCATTGGCTCACTACAACCTCTGTCTCCTGGGTTCAAGTGATCCTCCTGCCTCAGCCTCCCGAATGGCTGGGATTACAGGTGCCCGCCACCACACTTGGCTTAATTTTTATATTTCCAGTAGAGGTGGGGTTTCAGATGTTGGCCAGACTGGTCTCAAACTCCTGATCTGAAGTGATCCACCCACCTCAGCCTCCCAAAGTGCCGGAATTACAAGCAGGAGCCACCACACTGGCCCCAGCTAATCTTTGTAGAGCAATCTTGCAATGTTGTCCAGGCTGGTCTTGAACTCCTGGTCTTTGGCCTCAAGTGACCCTCCTGTCTTGGCCTCTCAAAGTGCTGGGATTACAGGTGTGAGTCACCATGCTGGCTTTTCTATCCATTTTTTCATTCAGTAAATATTGAGTCCCTACTATGTGCCAGGAGCTATTCAAGGTGTTGGGGATATAGCATTGAATTCAGACAGACAATGTGCCTGTTCTTGTGAAAATTATATTTTAGTGGGAAAAGTGGACAACAAATAAATAGAAAGTGTTATTTATAATAAATGCTATGAATAAAAATAAAACAGAGTAAGGCGGTATACTGTAGGGTAAATTGTACCTCCTTCAATCCTTGGGGCTAGGAATTCAATTTCTGGGAAACTGTTAGAGAAATGTTTCCACATTTGTACAAAGGCACACAGACATTCCTAAGAGCAAGAAGTTGTAAACACCCTAGATGCCTAATGGGAGAGGAGTTGGCAAATGAATTGTCCGTCCATACAAATGGATAATATGCAGCCATTAAAAACAATGAGGCAGCTCAACTTGTGCAAACAAGGAAGGCTCTCAAAAACATGTTAAACAAAAGCAAGATGTCTTAGAGTAGCGTATACAGCAGGATCTGAATAAGTAAAGTAATACATTTCTCCGTAGACACATAGGAAAAGGTCTAGAGGCCGGGCACGGTGGCTCACGCCTGTAATCCCAGCACTTTGGGAGGCCAAGGCGGGTGGATCACCTGAGGTTGAGTTCGAGACCAGCCTGGCCGACATGGTGAAACCCCATCTCCACTAAAAATACAAAATTAGCTGGGTGTGGTGGTGAGTGCCTGTAATTTCAGCTACTCAGGAGGCGGAAGGCAGGAAAATTGCTTGAACCTTGGAGGCAGAGGTTGTGGTGAGTGGAGATTGCACCATTGCACTCCAGCCTGGGTGAAAACAGTGAAACTCCGTCTCAAAAAGAAAAAAAAAAGAGAGAAAGAAAAGGTCTAGAATGACCGAACACGGAAGAGAAGAGAAAGCGGGTTTGTTACAAAATGGTCATTGCAGAAAGGTACTTTCACTTTTTACTCAAAATTCTTCTGTACTGTTTGAAGTCTTTTTTTCTAAATACCGCTAACATATATTTATGCATTCCATGGATTAAGTAAAAAGAAAAACACAAAAACCACAGCCTCCACATCATAGCACAGATGCTTTTCCTTGGGGGTTCGAGATCTTAATCAAAAATGTTAAATGGATTCTTGGGTTTGTCAAATTGACTCTAACCTGCAGCTTTTGGTCCTGAGGGAGAAAGTGAAATGAAATGAGCCTTTGCCCCATAAATTCAGCCTCGGCTGGCCCCAAATCCCAGAGTTGAAAGAGGTCAAGGAAGGGATGAGGAGAGAAAGAATTGCTGTTCCTGAGCCAGCGCAGGGCCAGTGGTGTAGCTGCCTCTGTAGGGAAGGTGATCCTACCGCCATTTGGAGATGAGGAAATGGAGGTTCAGAAAATCAAGCAGCTTGCCCAAAGTCACAGGGCTGCTGAGAGACAGAGTCAAAGTTTGAAACTATATCTGTTGATCCCCAAAATTCATGCTCTTTTTGTGTGGATGGTGATGGCCTTCATAATAGTGCCACCCTCCTTGGAGGATCCAGCAGTTCCCTGCTTCTGTTAGGATTGCAAATGAGGACCCTCCAACCAGACTGAACGGTGGCCTGTCCCCACTTCAGGGCCAAAGAGACTACCACCTTCTGGGGCCCTAGTCTTGACCCTTGTTCCTCAGCTGAGGCTACTCCCAGCCTGGGGGAATGAGGGCACTGAAACTGTGTCTCTCATATAGCTGAGAAATAATAATACAATACTCACAGGTAAACTATAAAATAATAAAAATAGCGAATGCAGAACAATAATAATAGCTAATATAGTACCTGAGTACCATTGCTCTAAAAACTTTGCAAATATCCATCCATCTAATCTTTTAATTATTCTAGTACTAGTAACATTGCCCCCTTTAGGTGAGAAAACTGATGTACAAAGCATTTTACTGGCCCAGAGTCACACAGCTAGAAAGGGACAGAACCAAGATCCAAAATCCATTAATCTTCAGAGCCTGTGCACTTTTTTTTTTTTTCCCTGCTCTGCTGCCCAGGCTGGAGTGTAGTGGCACAATGTCAGTGACGTGATCACAGCTCACTGCAGCCTTGACCTCCTGGGTTCGAGCAATCCTCCTGCCTCAGCCTCTCGAGTGGCTGAGACTTCAGGTACATGCCACCATACCCAGCTAATTTTTGCATTGTTTGTAAATAGGAGGTTTCACCATGTTGCCCAGGCTGGTCTCAAACTCCTGAGTGCCTCAGCCTCGGCCTCCTGAAGTGCTGGTATTACGGGCGTGAGCCACTGCACTTGGTCCAATTTTTTGTTTTGTTTGTTTTCTGACTACTTATCCCCAAGTTCTAAAAGCCTGTGCACTTGATTTCTGTCTAACTCCCCCAAAGCAAGTTAACACTTGTGGTACTTACTATGTGCTGGACATTGTTCTAAGTGTTAGATTGGTGCA